CCCCCAGGCCGCAAATGAGACGGGTTTTGGGCCCGGTTCTTAGGATCGTGGGCTGTGGGCTCAGGGTAGAAGCCCACCGGGATTTTATGGGGACCTCATAAGCCCCCATGAAGGGGCTGTTGAGTTGGGCTTTGCGTAAGTCTAATTACAGAAGTGGAAGAAAGGTCGATCGTTGAACTTTTCACTAGCCGAGCATTTTAAATTACATTGCCCTCCTGCATAATTTTGGAGACAGACAACGTGTTTTGCCGAACCGCCAATGGAACATCCGCCTGATTCACTAGGAGAGCCTCACCGGCTGTTTGACCACCAATGCGGATGGAAGAATCAGCTCCTCGACTTGCTAAGTACTCAAGATACTTGGCCTGTACATCAAGCTTCTCCCTCCAATGATAAGAGTGAAATCTTTCTTCCAATGTCAGGAGCTCTTTGTGAAAGGCTTCGCATACCGCATGCAAAGCCGTTGGTCCGTCCTCGGCCCCCATGCGGGCATTGATGTTGGCCCCCGACGCCAAAAGGCGCTCAATTGTGGCGCGGCCAATTTTCTCTAAGGGCTTATTCCATATGCATAAGCCCCTTTGTAGGATGTATTGGCTCAATAGTATGGTAGGGTCCATCTTTAAATCCTCTAGAACATAGGTCAAGAGACCTTGCCATGCCGCTGAAACTTGGACTAGTGTATCCCCAAAAACCGAAAGTTTAGAGTCGTAGGAAGCGAGGGACTCAGCAAGCGTGCCAACACTGACCGCGTGCCGGAGCAGATATTGCACAGCCAGGAGAAGACCTGGACTCGTGACCAATTTGATTAGTCCCCACTTCTCGAGGATGAAGTCCAGGCACATTTGGGAAGGGCTCCAATAGCACCTCACCCAAGGCGCACTGTGTATCCGCTCCAGGTCTCCACGATCTGGAATGGGAATGGGCTGTTGAAGGAGTGCCCCTCGGCTAGCCAGAAATACGAGTCCATCGACCGGATGCAAGGCATGCATCGGTTCGTCCCAGTTGTGAATGGAATCAACATAGACAAGCGCAGGACTCATGTATTGGTAATTTTTGCAACCATGGTAGCTATTTTCGCAAATCAGAGGTGCTGGATGGTTAATGTCTGCGCCATGGTGTAAGCATCGCTCGATCATAGCTGTCCCCTGGCTTGACATGCATGCCACAGCGGCCATGATGGGGATATGCCAAGGCTGACGGACAGGACGAGTAACATGGGGTCCATGAATAATTCCTCCTTTCTCGATCAGGAGATCCAGAACATCAGTGTGGGCCTTCCGAATTGCCACAGTCAGGGGAGTCACCAGTCGGTTGCCATAGAAGGAGAATATCTCATTGGGGTTACCACCGCGGTCCAGTAAAAGGCGCACCGGACCCAGCGGAGAGGCCGATGCCGACTGGGAGATTATCCCAAGCAAAGGTAGGGTAGAGGGGGGATGGTGCCGATAGTGCCCCATACGAAGCTGATGGTCGAGGCCGGCATCCAGGTAGAGGTGCAGCAGAGCCCAATCATGTGCGGGGCTGCAAATACGGTTGACGAAGTGAGGGATGGCCCCTTTGCCCAAATCAGGATGATCGAGCCGTGCGCCAATACCAAGCAGGTGCTGGAAAGCTTCAATTTGCTTTTTGGTGGCTGCCAGATGTAAAGTGGATGTTTTGATGTAACACCCCGAAGAACTTCTGCTCACAGAGACCACGCTAGGGGATGCACCTAAGGAGACTAGGCGACCAATGGCTTGGCAATTTCCATGCGAGCACGCCCAGCCCATTGCGAGGTCCATGACATGTTCTCTGCCGTAGAAGATTGGGTCAAGCTGGTGGTATAGCTGTCTGTTTGTGGCTAATAGAGATGCCAAATCACGATCTCTCAAGTGCGATATGATCACATCGAGAAGCTCGGCGGGAAGTGTATCCAGCCGTCCTAGTTTATCCATAAATTTTTGGATGATTAATCGAAATAGATGGGTAGTGAAAAATAGTGGTCAGATAATGTTAACAAAGTCGCTTGATCATGTGGTAAAATAGTCGGATATACTAACCCTCACCTGATCGGACTAACCCTACTCCTATAACCTCGGACTATACGGAGTCGGAGTACTCCGTCCATTTTCTCAATAAAAGATAAAAACTCAGACTAATCATTTTGATAATTATTACCAAAAATTGGTATCAGTTTAGATACATCCGCTGCTCGCCACATTCATTGCCTTTTTGGCCCCCGCCAAGGCCCTTTGATGCTCCTTGACTAGATCCGTTTCTTGAAGTTCGTTGTAAACAGTTGTGAGCAGAGTCAGAGCCTGTTCTTTGGTCAACCCCAGCCCTTCGGTGGCTGCCAATTTGGTGGCCGTAGCATCCTTGTCATACACTTTGTAAGGCTCTCCCCACACCACCTCGCTCGCATCAAGCATCCTGGTTACAACCGAGATCAGCCTTTTCTTCTCCACGTCGGTATATTTTGCTTTGAGAGCTGTTTTAATGGCTCCTGGCTCTTGCATTCGAAGTTCTTTTTCCCGATATGCGTAGGACATCTTAGACGATTCCACGGCAATGATTGTTCCAAGTCTTGAACAAATCCTTTAGCTCATCACTCAGCTTATTGTCACCCGTGAGCTCAGAGACTATATCAAACTCCTCCTTGGCCTTCCAGTAGCGCTCAGCAAACTCCTGGCCCACCTTGTCGAAATAATTGTCTGCTGTACCCCCCGCAACGAGATTCGCAATGTTCAGATCTCCGTAGTATCCCCATTTTGGGACATTTGCGGTTTTGCCATTGTCAAGTTTCATTCGCAGGTTCATGATGCCGTCACGCATTGCTGCTGGGCCGTAGTTGAGGAGAGTGAGCTTATTCTTGTCGATAGCCGTTCCCATATACGTCTTCGTAATATCGGGCCTCTTGTCCATTTCACCGGTTGCTGGGATTTCAGTTTCATGCCAAAGATGATCACAGAATTCTATGAAAGTACAGCGCTTTTGCTGACCACGTAGCCCTTCCCGGGTCCCCTCGCAGCCTGTGGCGACAGTGCGCTTGCTTGCGTCCGTAAAAATTTCCTCTGACACGTAGGTCGAAAAGTAAAAAGCCCTGTCAACATATATTAATAACTATAAAACATTCACACGGGGTTTTTTAACTCACCGTTCTGAAGCACCTCTAATACCTCTTGCAGAGGCCCCTGCAATCAGGGCAGACACAGTCACAATATGAGACAGTTTCATCGTTTCGAGAGGTACTCAAGCAGGTCTTCCAGAAAGGGAGGTTGAATACGAATGCCAATTGGAATAGGAACTGACGGCCATATAGACCTCACCTATGCTAGCCACTATCAATTGCTAAGCCTGTCGGATATGAGGACCTCGCCCCTGAAGCCACAATGCTACCCTAATTTCTCCGTAATTTCATCTTGTGCATTAGATCCATCCACATCTAGGTTTAGTTTAGGCTTTGTTCGGCATGTCTCACTTTCAGCCATCCCGCCCCCAAGCTAAGCCTAATAGCAATTTACTTGGATGAAGTTTTGTCCAAGAAAAGACGATGTTACCTTGATACGAGAATGGAGTTACTCAGGATCCCGATTCTCTGAAGGAACTACCGAAGAGGCAAAAAGAAAAAGCGTTTCGTCGCTTCCTGGTCATGTCGACCCAATGAGCCATAAAGGGCTTGCTCGGCCACTATCATATGATTACGCCTGACAACCACTTCACATTCATTACGAATCAATCACCACTCTCGTTCTTGTCCTTCCTCTGTCTTCTTCTATGATTCTACATTTATATCCAGTCTTTCATTAAATCTTCTTTCTTTTCCGGGAACCACATTCACTTCTTACATTTCGTTTCTTCTCATCATGAGATCCCCATTGCTCCGACACCATGTGTTGGCTTTAGCAGTGTGGATCAACCTTTTGATCTTTTCTCATGCCGCTCAAGATATTAATGGAAAGGCTGTTCTCAAACTTGGAGATATCGTCCCAGTTGATACTCCAGGCAGCTACTACTCGGAACTCCATCCCTGTCCGGCAGCCTGCCTGGATAACAAGCCCAATAACTGGACTGTGTACTCTTCAGTTAATCGTCTGAATGTCTGCAGTCAACCAATGCTGTTTGAGGTGGGCATTCACAAGCCTGTTGACAAAGGAAATGGTATCAGATTGCATGCATGCACAGTTGGTGATAGCCGCAATGCCAACACCACTGTGAATGCACTCTTTGAAGCTCCTAGCGAAGCCAAAAACTTGACCAAGCGCGCAAATCCCAAGTGCGTAGCTGCTACTGCTGCTACCAAGGTTGCCCTCACATATGGGCAGCAGGGCACGAGCGACGCTCCAGGTGATGATGCCGTGGTAGCCTTGGAGAGCCTGCAGTATTACTTGGAAGACGACTCAAACTGTGACTCCTCCATTTTGTTCTCATACTCCAATGGCACAGCAGCTGGCATTTACATGGGCTCCTCATTTGACAAACGCACAGTCAAGCCCTTGGTCTCCCAGCTCGTTGATCACATCAAGACGTCCAATCCAGGAGGCTACATGACTGTTCAATTGTGCGGTGATGAGCGCAACTCGAATCATGTTCTGGGTCTTGCTGTTGATACAACGGGAAACGTCGCCTCAGTGCAGAGCGCCATTCGTTCTTGGTCTAAGGCAGAATGTGTCAGCGAACTGGACTCGTTTTTTGTCTGGGAAGACGTGCATATATGGGAGTCTACCGCAGACTTGCAGCCAATCAGGCAAGCAGCTGAACGCGATCTAGAAGCACGAGCAGAATGTTCGACAATCCGGGTGGGAGCAAATGAATACTGTCCTGCCCTGGCTTCACGATGTGGGATCAGCCTAGCCACCTTCCAAAAGTATAACCCGGGCGAATCGTTTTGCAATAAGCTCGCGGAAGGTCAGCCTGTCTGTTGTACTTCTGGCACATTACCGGACATCACCCCAAAGCCTGAGGCAGACGGCACTTGCAACACTTACACCGTACAGCTTGGCGATGATTGTTCGAAACTCGCTGCAACATATGGGTTGACCGAAAAGAAAATTGATGAGTTCAACAGCGGCACCACATGGGGTTGGAACGGGTGTGGGGATCTCGATGCTCACATCAACATTTGCCTCAGTAAAGGAAAGCCCCCCATGCCGGCTCCAATCTCCAACGCCCTGTGCGGGCCAACCAAGCCCGGTTCCGAAAAGCCTACCGATGATACAGAGCTTGCAGATTTGAACCCTTGCCCGCTGAATGTGTGCTGCAACATATGGGGCCAGTGTGGTATCACTCAGGAGTTCTGTCTCAAGGAGCCTGGGCCTTCCAAGAATCCAGGAACTTCGCTTCACCAGAACGGTTGTGTGTCTTCTTGTGGAACAAACATTATAAACAAGGGAACTGCTCCAGCACAGTATGGCCGAGTTGGCTATTATGAAACTTGGAAGTTTGATCGAGAGTGTCTGAATCTTCGTGCAAAAAACGCCAATACCGATGGCAGCTACACGCACATGCACTGGGCATTCGCTGGAATCAATTCGGATGACTGGACAGTCAAGATCAATGACACATTCGGTCAATGGAAAGACTTCAAAGAGCTTGATGTTAAACGCATTATTTCGTTCGGTGGCTGGGGATACTCGACAGAGCCTGAGACATATGATATCTTGCGACAAGCAATGGCGAGCCCCGAGGCCCGTACTACTTTTGCGACTAATGTTGCCAAATTTGTGAAGGATGAGGGCATTGATGGCGTGGACTTTGACTGGGAATACCCAGGGGTATGCAGAAATCTCATCCACAATAATTTACGTCGAAAGTAACTAATTTGTTTTACAGGCCATAGATATCGATGGCACTCCTCCGGGCTTTGCGACAGATGGTCCCAATTATCTCAAATTTTTGACCACTATGCGCTCCAAATTAGGGACAGGAAGTACCTTGTCTATTGCCGCTCCGGCATCCTACTGGTATCTCAAATCATTTCCCATCAAGAACATGGCCAAGCAGCTTGACTACATTGTTTACATGACGTACTTGCACGGTATGTTGGATTCTTTCTTCAGTCGAGTAACAGAGCTAACCTATGCAGGGCAATGGGATGCTGGTAACCAGTGGGCCACAGAAGGTTGTCTTGAGGGAAATTGTCTTCGCAGTCATGGTATGCTTTCGATAGAACATGGCAAAATTGACGCTACAGATCTCTGACCTTACTCTGCAGTAAATCTCACCGAGACTGAATACGCACTTTTTATGAGTAGGTTTTCCTATAGCGGATAACAGTTCTTCCCGACCTAACCACTTGAATAGTAACCAAGGCGGGTGTCTTGACAAACAAAATCTTTGTCGGCGAGTCAAGCTACGGCCGTTCATTCAAGATGTCAGAGAAGGGTTGTACAGGACCCGACTGCAACTACGAGGGCACACGATATGACTCCAAAGCAAAGAAAGGTGTCTGTACAGATACTGCTGGTTATATATCCAATGCTGAGCTTGGCCGGATCAAAAGCTTGAACGCCAACGTGAAAGTTTGGCATGATGGGGGCTCCAACAGTGACATTATGGTGTATGATGGTATGTTTTCCGTCATGATTGTCTTGGCCCTTACTGATCCTTACTGATCGTATTAGACACTGAATGGGTCGCATATATGTCCCCAGCCACCAAAGGCAGCCGTCGCTCTTACTGGGAAGGCATGAACTTTGCCGGTACCATTGATTGGGCAGTCGATCTGCAGGAATACACAGACGATGACTTCGCAGGCCCCAATGGCGACAGCATGGACGATGACTTCCCAATCCCGGAATTACCTGAATGCAAAGGGTCATACACTACTCTGGATGCCATTCAAGACGACATAGCCAAAATACCTAGAGCTTGTGTGTCCCAATACATACTTAAGGTTTTGAAAGGCACTCTTGATTACGCCTTGGAACGTTATGACAGCATGATAGCAGACGACTATGACAAAGACTTCGACTACTACGCCCAAGCCGTGGTCGACAGTGGACGGGATCAGGTCGAAAGCTTCATGTACGAGAATGGCTCGAAATACTTCCCCTGCATTGTGACCGAGGAGGTTCCCGCCTGTAACTATTGTGAAGGCCAGTGGGGGAAAGACAGCGACGTCTACTGTCGTTACTGCGAGGATTACGACAATGGCTGGGACTCAATTTGTGACCAGCCCGAGGTCCACTGTGAAGGTGCAGAGGTCAGGTACAAGAACGTGACGGAGGAATGTCCGCCTGATTACTCATTGCGTGCGCAGTTACCTCCACGAGATTCGCGCTGGTCACAGTCGGTGTACTGGCATCTGGTGGCCTCCAAGGCCAAGAGTTTCTGGGCAGATTTGTACACCACGAAAGGCATTGCTCAGGAGAATATCAAATGGGAAGATGTCCATCATTGGGAGTGTGCGCCTAGCGACGATACATGTGGAAACCGAGACTGGGATTATAACTTCCCTGTGCCCGAGGGCTATGACAAGGAAGACGTACTCAACCCGAAAGACGTTGTGTCAGACGCTCACAAGAATGTCACACTCCTCAGCTCTGAGATGACTAGGGCTCTGGATGTTATGACAAAAGGGTCTTTCTCAGTCGATGCTGATGATTTGGTAGACGCATTATCGCTTCCAATCTCTATGGTTGCGGATGCCGTTGATAGCATGGAGAAGGTCAAGGAAATTGGAGAGGAAATCGAGGAGGCCAAGCGGGAGACGATTCTAATGGCTTTCCTGACTGCCATCTTCTTCTTTATTCCCGTCGTTGGTGAGGTTGCTGGTGCTGTCGGTTCCCTGGCAGCGATTGGCCGAATTGTCGCGCTGTTGGGTGAAGTCGGTAATATCGCGCTGGACATCTATACCATCGTTGACGACCCTGCTAACGCACCACTGGCTATTTTTGGCCTTGTTCTCTCCCCATTGGCTCTTACAGATGCAGTGGCTATTGGCCGAGCTGCCAGTGCTCGTCGTTCCATGTCTGCAGACGATGTATCCAAACTGGGCGAAGGTCTGAACGAGAGGCTGAACAAAATCAGCAACATTAAGGATATGTGTCGGATCTGATTCTCACTTTTTCTCTTGCTCGGCTAGTCCTCATAAATGGAATTTAAGAAGAATCCATTAAAGGGGATGAACTCTACTCACTGATCCTGAGCCTAGAGCGCCCTCATAAAGCGGCGGCAGCCCAGATAGGAAAGGCCCCACCCGGCAGACATTATCCTGTCTATAAGTTATAAACCATATAACATACATACTATTGATAGTTTTCTAATAAGCGGCTTGCCTAATATATCTGTTTACTTTATAGCTGGAAAACCACAATTATCTTTTTACGTTCTCATACCAGCAAATTCCGACAAAGACCACTAATTATATCGATAGGAATGGGTCGAATAAGTGGCTTTAGGAGGTAGCAAGAAGACTCTTCACCTATTTCGCAAATCTAACCTCAGGGCTATGGATCGTTATGACCCAAAAGTGCGCCATGGGCTATCTTGCTGCCCGGGAGCCTATGTTAGTTAAAGAGCGCCAGTATAATATCTACAATCGCCTCGGTACTCCTTACTACACCGTGAAGCAGTAGATGTGGGAACCAGAGACCAAAGAGAACAAGTGACGAATGGACTGTCTAGAACTCAGAATGTCTAATTATAATATTCAGTAATTGGAACTCCCAAGTCTCTAGGGAAATCATCTCCCATCTTTTGCCTCGTACTTATGTCACTCCTTTCTCCGCACGCCCAGCGTGTACAATGACAGCACACACGCTCCTGCAGGTTTTCTCAAATTGAAGGTTCTCAATTGGCCTCGGTTATGTGAAGATAGAGATTAATATCCAATCCGGCCAGCTTGTCACACCTGAAGATGGCAATTGTTGAGTCGATCGTTGGTAGACGCTGTTTCTGCCCCGACCTTCCCAGTTGAATATAAAAGGAAACAATATGCCCGCAACTATAGTTGTTAGTCCAATCTAGAGATTTGAACGGGGGTAAACTTTTATCCTGAATCATTTGACCCGGCATGGAGACAAACAATCTCAAGTTATACTCGGCCTATGTGATCCTAGCCGTACTTCTTCTACGACTACTCACCAACCGATATAAGCGAGGGCTTCGAGATATCCCTGGCCCAACATTGGCAAAATACTCGCGTCTATGGAAGCTCTATAGTGTCTGGAAAGGCGATCATCACCTCACAGATATTGATCTGCATCGTAAGCATGGACCGTTGGTGCGAATTGGCCCAAATCATATCTCAGTCGGCGATCCCAATGCGATTCCTATTATTTATGGGCTGAACAAAGGATTCACCAAGGTATGTGCCATTCATGTGTCCAAATCTCATAGAAGAAGAGATGATAACGCCAAATAGACAGCATTCTTTCCTCTCCAGTCAATATCATGGAACAAAAAGCCCCAAATGAACCTCTTCTCGACGAGAGATGAGATTTACCACCGCAACCAAAAGCGAAACATAGCCAACGCTTATAGCCTCACCTCTCTTCTGGAAATGGAACCAGCAGTCGACTCCTGCACTGCAATGTTCACCTCCCAACTCGCCAAATTCGCCGATAGCAAAACTCCGATCGACCTCGGCATCTGGCTCCAATACTACGCCTTCGATGTCGTCGGCGAAATGACCTTCGCCAAGAAGCTGGGATTCCTCCAAGAAGGACGTGATATCGACGGTATGATTGGGGCTATCCAGGGTATGCTTGTATATGCCAGTCTATGTGGCCAGATCCCTGAGATGCATAATGTTCTTCTTGGGAATCCTCTTTTCCCGATCTTCGTCCCTAGCATGGAGTCTTGGAATCAGGTCGCGCAGTTTACTTTGAAGGCTATGAATTCTCGTGTATCACTCCAGCGAGACGGTGAAATTGACCAGGACGAGAAAGATGGAGGGAAGGATATGCTGTCTCGGTGGATGGCGATGCATCGTGCTGACCCGGTGAAGTTTTCGACCAGAGATGCTATTGTCCATTTGTCTGCGAATGTGTTTGCTGGATCGGATACTACGGCCATTGCACTTCGTGCCATTTTATACTTCCTCATGCGCAACCCGGATATCATGGCCAAAGTACAAGCGGAGATTGATACCGCAGTCCTCGAGGGAAAAGCCGGCAATCCTGTCTCCTACCGCGAATCGTTGGCTCATCTCCCATACATGAGTGCTGTCATCAAAGAGGCATTGAGGCTTCATCCGTCTGTGGGTTTAATCCTTGAGCGTGAGGTACCGAAGCCAGGCGTGACGATTTGTGGGAAGTATATACCTGCTGGGACGACCGTTGGCATCAATGCGTGGGTGGTGAATCGAAATAGTCAGGTCTTCTATGATGCAGACTCGTTTGTTCCAGAGCGTTGGATCAATAGTTCGCCAGAAAAACTGAAAGAGATGGACCATAGTATCCTTACCTTTGGGGCTGGGTCGCGGACTTGTCTTGGGAAGAATATCTCATTCATTGAGATGCATAAGATTGTGCCACAGTTGCTACGAGAATTCGACATTCGATTGCATCGCTCAGGGGGATGGAAGACGAGGAACATTTGGTTTGTGCAGCAAGATGGGTTGGTTTGTGATCTTGTACGGAGGAATGGGAGATAGTAGACACAGGCTACCACACGTTGTATCTTCTTACGGAAGTCGAGGTCAATTCATACTTCCAGCAAGAGCCAAATATCCCCATGTATTCTCAGTACGCCAGTCTATATTCCTATCCCCAGGTCCAAAACAACCCGCTCCAAACCAAAAAAAAACACAGGGGTATAAGATGCCAGCCTCACAGGGCGTTAAGAACCGACTGCATAGCAAAAGTATTCGAGTCTTCGCGACGCGAAACATAAGCCCGCACGTCCTGCACACTCAATTTACCCTCCTGGCTAGTACCAGCGCCGCGGCCAGAGCTTCCAGGCCCACCAGTCGTGCCGCTAGCAGCACCACCGCGGATTCGCTCACGCAATGCCTCGACGCCGATTACGAATAGACTGCCCACTTCGAGTAGCACGTCCAGCGCGCCACCGGGGCCCTTGGCTTCTTCGTCAATGTCCCAGGATTTGAGGAGGTCGGTGTATTGTGTCATATCCTTGGTTACCATTAGTCCTCCCGGTCCGCTTACGGAGAACCGCTTGAAGTGTTCTAGAAGGAGTCCACGGAGGCCTAGGGCGACCTCGGTGAGGAATTGGCGGATGTTGGCTCCGCTAGATGGGAGGGAGGTTCGGGCGATGTTGTGGAGGCGGGTTAGGAATGCGCAGATCGATGCGCAGGTCTGTTGCGAGTTAGTCGCTGCGAGAGGGTATTGAGTAGGGAACTTACTGGAGTCTGTAGCATCTCCAGCCATGCAGCGTTATCGCTTTCTCTGGGACGGAAGTCATTCTTCTTTTGTCCGGATAGGAGCCTGCTGACCCAGGCAAATGTGGCATCGATTGTCTTCTGTTCGATGGTGTTGACCTTATCTTCAATGCGTGACGTCGTCTGGCTGGTCCGTTTCTCCATATCCCGGCGAGTCGTAATGCTGCCGGTTGACAAGGGGAGGAGAACCGCATGCACACACATTACCATCAGAGTGGTAATGCTGATGGTTGTGCGAACCGAGAGGAGGTATGTAAAGTCCGGCTCTGCCTTGCCAGACTCCTGTGCTGTGGCCGCCTCCAGTGCGGCGTCTAGACAGACGTCTACGTATCCATCACCCATGGTGACAAGCAGGAGATTCAGCAAGGCAGACACATCTTTGGGAGTGTCACTGTTGACACTGAGCTCCAGGCCTCGACCCACAGCTTCAGCCAGCCATTTCAACATCCGTTTAGCATCGCTGAGATTTGGCTGTCCATCTTCCTCTGTGAGCTTGATTTCGGTCAACCGCACGGTCTCTGGTAAATCATTCAACTTTGCAATGTGCAGCAGCACTCTTCGCTGGGTGGGAGAGACCTCGGGCGAATCCAACCGATTGATAAACGCGTCTCTGGTAGCCGAAAGGAGCTCCGTTCCAGCTCGGGAGAGCGAGGCCATAAAAGTAGTTGCCGCCTTCTTGCGCCGGGCATGATAGGACGTAAATCTGAACAGCAGAGAGTTGAACAGTTCTTCCAAAGTCCGCTTCTCACGTTCAATGTATGAAGATCCGACAAAATAGGGAACAAATAATTCCTCCAATTGCTGATCCAGAAGAACTGCAGTCTGCGATGAGACAGGGTCCGGATGTTCAGTCAACCCATGCGCCTTCAAATCTTCGATCAATGCACTGATATAGCCACGCGAGCTCTGTAGACAACGCAGGAAGGCGAGTGATGATGCGCCGCTGGCCTTCTCCAAGACCATCTCGAGGCGCTGCTGAATGGACTGTTGGAAGACACGCTGTAAGAATTTGCCCAAGACCTGCTCATAGTACGGGAAGGCTCTCTTGATTATGGCAGACTCTTCCTGCACCACAACCTTGACCTCGTCGATCAATGACTGCAAACTGGACTCCACACCAGGAAGCTCTGCATCCGGGTCTGCCAGTTTCTCCCAGGACTCAGGATCACCACCAACTTCCTCAGTCACCAACTGGCTGCGATCGATGAAGAACTGGTGCTGATTCACGAACAGCGCAATAACACTCGCACCGCCATTGAAATCCTGCAGCACAGTCGCACAATCTTTCATTCCATCAAAGTTGGCTTTGCGGTAGAAATCATCAAACTGCTTCAGCAGATCCTTCTCCAGCGTCTCCGAGAATTTCTCAATAATCTCCCTCGTGTTTCGTCGCGGAGTGCTGCTCTCGCTCAGATCCTCCGACGAGGAACTTCCCCCGTAGCCTCCATTCGCACGAGCTGGATGTTCCTGCCAGCTCTGCGGGTCTAACCGTTGACTGATGCGCAGTAGCTGTCGCGCGATGTGTGCCGAACGCACCGCGGCCTCGCCGGTACCGGACCGCCGCAGGTTTTCCAGCAATGAGATCTCGCCGCGGTTGGACACGCCGTCCCAGCACTCGATGAGGAAGTGGGCATCTAGGGCTCGTCGGCGTTGCCGATCTAGCTCTTCTAGTCGTTTTCCGGTCTCCACGGCCATGTTGCCTGTTCCTCCCGCGT